AAAGACCGCTTCTTTACAGAAACTGGTCCAAAGGTTTATAATATTTTGTGACATTTGGCTAAAATAGACCACTGTAGCCAAACAGGATGAGAGGGAATTGCTGTACTGGGTTAGACTGCAGCCATCTAATCCTGCATTATGGCTCTAGGGCTTCACGAAACATCAAAGAATGCAGGAGAGAGTGAATTTTCTTCTTCTTCACAACATGATTGGGCTTTCCCCTTATCACTGAGGTAAAAGCTGCATCTAGACTTTAAATGCAAGGCGCAGTGCCCCTTCCAGAAAATGTTGTCATCAAGCAAATGTGTTAAGCTCCAAAGAAGCAGTTTCCTAGTCTGTTGGGAGAACCTCTGAAGAAATGGTGTTGAACTGTTGCAGCTGCCAGAATGTATGGAGAGATGGAAGTGGTCTAAATAAATTAACTTTTTTTTTTCCCAGCTGTCTCCTTTTGAGAAGTAGCACTTTGTCCCAATGTTTCTCCTCTTTGCTTGCATGTGTCTTTGAAGTACTAAAAAATGGGGGAGGAGTGTGCAGTGAACCTTGGAGCAGTGACTGACTGGGGTAATCAGGAAAAGAAACTGATGATCCCGTTACTAGTTTGACAAGATCTGGAATAAATTTTATTGGATTTGCAAGCTGGAACATGATCAAGGAAAAGCTTATTGTATAGGAAGAAGAAAATAATTTGCCTAATGATTAGGCATTAAGCCAATATGCAAACATGTAAAATGTTTTGAAGCCAGTAGCGTTAGCAGAGAAACAAAGGAGGCCTGAATACGGGAGGGGTAAGAACAGCGTTCTTCTTAAAGGCTGTTCTTTGCTAACACTTAAGTGTTCATTTGCAGGCAGGCAGTGTGATCTATGACAAATCTTGGTTAGTATGATTTTAATTCCAAAAGCAGCATGGCCAGGCTGGAAGTTGTTGCCAGTAATTCAGATGACTTCTTTAAGTTTTACATAGGGTAAAAATGTATATAGTAACTGATCAAAGCAGATATTAATTGGGACATGGGAATAGAGGTAGTCCTGTGAACAGACTGAAATAGTTTTCTCCCCCTCTAAGAATCCTACAAAGAGTATTACCAACTCTTCTGTAAATGGCTGCTGCTTCTGCAAACCCTGAATTACTGTCAAAGATTCTGCAAATAGGTGCCATTTCTTATATTCCCAAGGATGCCTCCTGAAGCGTGCCTTTTTGATGAAGGGGTCTGACTTTAGCGATCCAAAGAATAGGCTAGTGTAATAGCCTTGCTGTGCAGACAGCCTGCTTTTAATTTCCCCTCGCCTTTATCGTCTGTCCTAATAATCTCCAAATTGTGTTTTGTTTGAACATTCCCTATATATTTTCACCACAATATTTCCAAATTCTTCCATAGTTAAGAATACCGAGTACAGGGCCCTGGAAGTAGGTTTGCACTGCTAAGAATTTGAGTTGTTCTTTCTGCAGAGTTCCCCAAATTCGAGACAAAAGCTTTTGACTGAGTAGAGGAGGAATGCTCAGGTTTGCTTTGAAATGGAGGAGGTCCTCAGGTGGCTGTTTCTGAGCATTTCAGAATGCCCTTTGGCAAGCAGGCTTAGGTCTGCTTGTCAAAGTTGTAATTTATAATGCTGTTGTTGGCAGGCATTCCCTATTAAAGAAGTACAAGGACACTATTCGCTACTCTTGTCTGCATAGCTCGGCACAATTGAGTGGCGTGCATTGAGCAAGTTATTAATGAATGAACACAAACTTTGCCTTGAGTTTCCAGGACGATTTTTAAATAATAAGTATCTAATTTTTCCTTTGTCAAAGTGAGTGTAAATTCTATTGCTAATTTTAGGAGACAGACCACACTGCAGCTTCTTGGGGAAGGGTCCAACTATTTAATCTACTTTGCTACCACCGCCTTGATGATAAAGAACAGATTACACATTTAGGGGAAAAATGGATCATTTGGAGCTGGAGAGGCACTTAGAAAGCACTTTTATTGCAGCAAATGATCTTGATAAATAGCAGAAATTGTGCAGAATGTACAAAATTATATTCAGTTACCTGAGCGCAAATGGGGAATAATTGGCTTGGCAGCAAATCACAAAGAAAAACTGGGGAGGTGGCATTGTGTGCCAGAGTCACAGTGAAGAGCTGGATGTGGTCGCTTAGGAGGCAGTATCATTTTGGACGTGTTGATGGGACTACTAAGAGACCCAGATCTAGAAATAGGATAAAGCTTGTTATAGATTGTGCAATCACCAGCTGTTTTCTGTGCCTGAGGTAAGGACAGGAAGAAATTAGCTTAACTGGTAGCAAGAGGGACTGAAGCTCTGTATTAGGAAGAAATCCATCTAATAAGAATAGTGAAGCACCACAAAACTCCTAGGGGTCTGCAGAGATGGCTCTTTGGGAGGCTGGGTTAATATTACGAAAAAAAAAAAAAGATGTTTTTGAGGCCCTTTCAGCCTTTTCCTTATTCTTTAACTACGCAAGGTCTGCATGTGCTAGAGGGGACAGATAAGGCCTTGTAATATCCTTTAAAAAGTAGAAATCGTGGCAGAGACAGAGTACAATGCCAAGAAGAGTGACTTATGAACAGAAGTGAAATGTTGGGATAACTTGGAAGTAGATTAATGAAATGTGGAGCCTTTCATCTCTCAGCCACCAGTTTCAATTTAAATTGGGTCAGTGTAAGACGTATCTTAATTTATCTTATAGCGGTAGGTATTCACTATGATCAGACAACATGTCATGGAGATTGATATCAGAAAGCAGCCGTGCAAATATTCCTTGTCAAGTTGTGACTGACTAAACCAGCTTCTGAATTCCAGAATGGGATTTGTCCCTCCTGGTCTCTCTGGCTACATGTTAACACCTTCACTGCCTTTGCATGCCCTGTTTGTCAGCGTGAGCTTTGCCTTCCAAGTCATGAATGTTTGAACTGAATATTTAAACTTTGTCCCAGCCACAGTACAAGAAATACTAAGTCTGCTTTCGGTTTCAGTACAAGGATTCTCTCTTTTTTTTCATTTTGATGAGTTTAAGTACTAGATCTACATTATTTGATTTTACAGTTTCTGTCCTTTTTTTTTTTTTTTTTTTTTGTGGCTTTCAGAGAGAGGAAAAACTCTAGTTCAGAAGAAACCTACCATGTATCCAGAATGGAAATCAACTTTTGACGCCCACATTTATGAAGGACGGGTGATTCAGATTGTTCTCATGAAAGCAGCAGAAGAGCCATTATCTGAGGTGACTGTAGGTGTGTCGGTCCTGGCAGAACGGTGCAAGAAAGGCAACGGCAAAGCAGAATTCTGGGTAAGGAAAAAGATTAATTCCTTAAACTTGCTGACCTCGTTATGTTTCTTTCAAGCTGAACAGACGCCTTATGCCTTTTAAACTATGAGTGTTCGATCCCTTTAGAGTGTGTGGCAGGGCTTGTAAGACAATTATTTTAGCAGCATTTTTGAAGCAGATAATGTACAACCAAAGTTCAAGAAATTGACAATAAAATCCATGGCATTAGTGTTGGAAATAATGGCATATATCACATTGACTGCCTATTTTATAAAGTCTAGCAGTTTTTATAGCAAATTGCAGACATTTAAATTGGATCTGATCATTGTAATTCATCCAGAGAAAAAGAAAGGTGAAGCTTATTCCAAGGCATTTCTACTTAGAATTTCTAATTTTATTTATTTATTTTTACAATAAATTTTAGTTGGCTTGATACTGCTATAATGGGGATCCTTTAATCCCCATTTTTATTATCCTGGTATCTTTTCTTGCCCCTGTGTCCCAAACAATTTTTCGTACGTGAAGTCAAGAGGTATGGCATCTTGCAGGGTGTCATTTGCTCCTGTATCATACTGAGTACAATTCTGAGAGTCAAACTCAGAAATATAACAGGGGAGGTAAAGTTAGGGTTTAATGTAGTTTTAAATTTAGAAATATACGTTTAGTCTAAATGCTAGTAGTTATTATTAGTTGTTGAACAACATAAACCCAAACAGCAACTTTTAAATAATTGTATGCAAATTATTTTCAATTAGCACTGTAACCCTCAAATAAACATAAAATTAAAAATATAAAATATTTATTTTGTACATCTAGAGAAGAGGGGAAAGTGAGAGAGGCAGAGAGGATCAAAAAGCTGAGCCCAGAAATCTGAAATACTGAACATATTGTTTTATTCATTTAGTTGATGTATTGTAAGGAATTTTTAATGAATTAAGGGTTTAATGATATCACCTTTGTAAAATCCTATTCTCTAGCTTCTTTTTCAACTTTCAGACCCAACTGAATAGGCTTAAATAAATACAATTTCTTGCCTCCCCCCCCCTTTGATAAAGTTGCTGAGGTCCTGGTCCAACAAAAAGGGTTGTGAGAATATGATGAGGCAGCATTGTCCCAGAGAACTGTATAAAATCTTGAAGCAACTCTAATTAGTGTCTTGAATATTCAAAATTTCTCCAAATGCAGAAATAAGATTCAGAGAGGAATATCAGGATATCCTATAATTTGGGTGAGAGCTGTCTAGCTAGGTGGATAGATGCTATAAATAGTCTTGCCCATCATCCAGTTGCATGTAAAGCTGTACTCCAGACAGCTTGCCCAGAAACGGCATGTATTTGCTAATACAGGAACTGCCTGTCTCTGTATTTGGAGCACAGTAGTGCTAAGGAAATACTTGCTAAATGTGAGCAGGTGTCCTTAAAATCTCACACATAGTCTTGTATTCAAAGCCTTCTGGAATGGAGTGTTGTTGAACTTGCCCAGAACATGAACCCTACAGGAGAAGACCTTTTCATTGGGTGGGCTAAAGCAGGATGAGCAGGTAGTAACAGATAGTTCCTGGTTACATCCAACTTGATGAGCATCTCGTTTCTCTCACAATTGGCAATGCTGGTCCTTCCTTGGTAGGGGATGGATACATGAACTCTCTTCTGGTTGTATGAATGCTTTTCCTGAATGCTGGATATGAATAGGAGGGAGTATCCAGTTGCGGCTTAGCTTAGTATGGGAATACTTTTTTTAAAAAAAACCCTCCTATTCTCTCTCAGGTCCATTTTTGCTGTAAATGGCAGGATTTTGCTCTGAGTATGTGCAAATCTAACTAACTATCTCACCAGGCCAATCTCGGAAAAAAACCTTTCTTAAAGGGGTGTTTGATACTGGAGGGGCTTACAGGTTTTGCTAGGTTGGTAGGATCTCTTTAGTTTGTATTCACCTGTTACATTCTGAAATCATGCACTGTTTTTTCCACACCTTAACTTGAATTCTGAGACAAGAGCAATTATTCAGAAGAGTAGTTAAAACTAATAGTGATCAGTTTTAGTTTTAGAGATGAGTTTCAGCCAATTCAGTGGTCTGAAATCCTCTGCTTATTATCCGTAGAACAGGTACCACATAGACATCATCAGCGTTAAACTTCCTCTGTACAACCTCCGTCATGACTTGGACAGACCATCATGCCCAGCAAAGAGATGTTAGTTGCTTACCATAGCCTGTAAGGTTATTTTTGTGTATGGAGAGGCAGCCTGTCAGTAGTAGCTGTAACAGGTCTTTGCCTTCTGTAAGCTTTGCTGGGCAAATGTTTTTGAGTGTCAGACATTGCTTTAAAGATGAAAACTTAGTCATTAACCCAGTAGGGTAATGGGATTTGTGGGGATAGGTTCACGGGTGTATCTAATGTAATTGTGGTTTTCTTTTTTTTTTTTTTTCCCTTCCTCTCAAGTTGTATTTACTGTTAACCCGGGGATACTTTGCTCTGTGCTGAAGTGAAGACTGAATCAGACTCTTCCATGCTTAATAGCTTCTTACCTTTTCTGAAGACAGCAGTTTAAGAATTAGCAGCTACTTTCTGAGCACAGGAGCTGACCTCAGCTATTGGCTTAAAAGGCATTTGTTTTTGCTGGTCTGTAGAATTTGCCACAGAAACCATGTGTTTGAAGGGGAAAGTAAAATAAATTTTGATGATACCACTGTTTTTCTGATTACAGGCAACAGGATTTGATATCTTTATGGTTTGTACTCTCAATAAACATATAAAGGATTTATAGACTTTTTCTTTTAATACTGGGTTCCTGTGCAAAAACAGAAGCCAACAAACTTCTTTGCAGAAACGGGAAAGGGACATGCAAAAACAATGTGAACTTTGACTGCGCTGAACTTTTGGGTAGACATCAAAGCAATGCAGCACACTAGTAAAAGCAATAGAATAAAAGTCCCTGGTTCAGCTGCAGCAATGAGATATGGAGGAGGAGTATAATATTGAATAATATTATATTATTCATAATATAATTACTCCATAATATTATATGGAATATAAGATTGAATATTATACTTCGATTCCCTAGAATAAGCTGTTTGAACTCTCCTTAGAGTTTCAGTCAACCACATACTTCACTCCTGGTATCTTTCTTTTCATAGCTTGACCTACAACCTCAGGGGAAGGTGCTGATGGCTGTGCAGTATTTTTTGGAAGATGCAGGTAATGTCAAGTGTTTATTTTCAGTCAGTTATGTAAAAATAAAACTTTTTTCACATTCCTTTTGTAGAACACAGGATGTAGCCCACAAAAAAAAAAAAATCACCTGGTGTACTGAGTAGAATTTTCTGATTTAATTTGTTTTGTAGGGGTTTTTTTGTTTTGTGGAGTCATGGCTGCATTTGTTCATTTCTAAATGCCTTCGTGCCCTGTATTGCTGTTGCGTTTAGCCACTTTTGGGTCTTTAGTATGTCTGTCCTCTTGTTTTGATGTGATAGAAAAGATACCAGTTCCTTTTTAGGTGCAAAGAAGTTAAATCTCTTGTTCTAGCTTATGTGGGAAACTTTTTTTGTGGATTGGGGAACTGGGTCTGAGTTTCCTGGGATTCAGATGTCATATTCACTAATCACGGAAACTGATTTTAGCAATGAATGAATGGTTAAGTGTTAAAACACAAATCTAGTCCATGTTCTGCTGTATCAGTTTAAAAAGTGAACAACCTGTATATGTCAGAAATCTACACACACTATTTGGAGAAGAAACTAGGAGGTAAGAGAAGATAGTTAATTATGAGAGGGGAATCTTTAAGTACAGTAATAAAAACAAGTATTTTGGCAGGGATTTGTGTATCTGTGGAATTCTTTCCTAAAGGAAATGATGTAAACCTCACAACTTGCTTAGCTAGTGGTTAAAACTTTCCCATGCTAGAAGTCACAAAATCATTATTTCTTGGGAATTGAAATGGTCTCCTATATTAGCCTATCGGTCTTACATGGTTTAATACTATGTGTTTGTAAATAACAAGTGGAAAGAGTAAGCAGTAAGTTTTAAAGCATTGGTGGGTTTTTTTCCCCCCAGATATATACAGGGAACATAGTTCTGCTCTCAAAGAACAAGTTAATTGTGAAGGTACCATACATTTTTGTACCATACGTGCAATCTGTGTAGCAGTTACTAGAAAAGCTACTAAAGATAGAATGTGATGTGCAGTAGATGACATTTCAGAGTTGACTTTTTATCTTTGCAATGGCAAAAAAACAGCCTATACACTTGTTATTTTGATCTCCTTTATGAAAAGTTAACTCTTTAAAGCAAAATTTCAAAAAATTGTGACTCTGAAGAGCCTGTAAGTAAGAACATTTCTCTGAAGATCAAAAGCTCTCTGTTTATGCACCAGTAATATTCTGGTTTGCACTCAAACTGTTGTGAGCCATTATATTAGAAAACCTTGGTCTTGGTCTTAGTCATGGCTTTCCTGTGCAAGGCAGTTTCATGGGGCAGTGGTATTACGAGAACCTATCTATTTAATGAGACATACAGAAATCCATTTGTCCAGGATACTTAAAAGTTTCTCAACCAAATCTGTACAAAACCTACTTCAGTATTCTCAGTTGCTTATTTGATGAGGCTGAAGCATACTTCCTCCTCTCCACACAGACATGAGGAACAGTAGAGATGGCATAAGTGAAAACCTTCCAAAATTTGCTATTAGTTGTTAGTAGGGAAGTAATACGCTTGTGTGGTCTAAGTACTAAAATAATTGTACTTAGTTATTGATCAAAATAATTTAAAAATAGATACAATGTTCTTGCAATTCTTCTCATTGCCTTTATTAGGGATTGCAGATGGTAGTGGATGAAGCCTGAATACCAAACAGATCATTAAGCCATGCAATTATACTTTAATTGGCAAGTTAAGATTGGCGTGTTAATGCTCTTGTTAGACCTTCTACTTTGCAACAACTTCCTATTTACCTTCTGCTTTATGGAAAATTACTCACTGATACCTTTTTGGTAACCAAACCACAGGGGCAGTGGAAACTCCCTTTCAAGACATTTTTACATCTATATTTTGTGAAGGAAAGTCACTCAATCTGATATTTGCAGTGTTCACATCAAACATCAATACATTTTAACATACTAATCCTCCTCAAAATTACAGATCTCCCTCATGTCACTATCTGTATATTGCTAAATAGGCAAACATTGAATTATTTTTGGCTCATCATTGCACTGCTGTAAATGTTTTCTCTAGTTAAATTAGCAGTTACCAGTGTTAGAGCAGAGAAGTTTGTTAGTGCATTACAAGGATGTTTGTATTAACTTCCATTCTTCACATTGCTAAAACCCATAGTTAATAGTTGAAAGCTCAGAGACAGTTCACATTCCTTTCTATGCACATGCCGTTTTGTTTTCTCTCTGACACGCCTTTCCATACAGAAGCGTATGGTAGCTGTGTTTCTAAAATACTAAAAAAGGCTTGTTCTGAAACTGGTATTTCAGTTGTTCCCTAGTTTATTTGAAGGTATTGCTACCATTAGTATGTTTGAGTTTTAGGTGCTACCTTTTGTTTGAAAATCTCCAAGCACTTTGCAAAAGTGACTAATTCTTTCTTTGGCTTGTTTTGCAAACGAAAGTTGTTGTTTTCCAGCCCTTCCTTCTAAGTAGCAAACTTTCTGCCATCTTGAGAAAACTGCTTTTCTCTGCTTCGATGGTAGGCAGCAGTGTTGAGAAGTAAGTGTGTTATTGCTCCATTATCGGATTTATTATTGGAGACAAATTTTCATGGAATAAAGACGTATTAAAATTTTCTCTGTGGTAGGCTACACTGAGGCGTTTCATTTGTATATTCTTTTTGCAGACTGGGGCCTGGGCAGTTAATTTAGGGCTATATATGAAAAGTCCTTCCCAGTCTTAGAGGGTTTTTTTTTCTTTCTAGACCTGGTAAAACAGGGACTGCAGAGCCCTGACTTAGAGCTGTCAAAGAACTTTTTTGTCTTCTGTGATTTGAAAATGAGTTTGTGCTGGAAATTAAAAGTTTTTCTTCTGATGTGTGAAACATGAGAACAGGGTGTTGACCCCCATTTTCATTTCAGAATATTGTTTTCTTTCTGCCCCTCCTTCTCTCGTTGTAGTATTGAAACTAGGTTATAATTCTGTAAAGCAGCTTTAGTTTTAATAGGTGGGAGTTGCAATACGTTTAATGCTTTGCTTGATCTTTGTTTATTCAAATGTAGTTAATGACCTTATCGAGTAAGAAAACCCAGGATCGTAGAGGTGGCTTGCTGTATTGCCGAGTGTCTTGTGTGGTGTTAGCAGCTTTGGAGGCTTTGGAAGTATGCTTGTGTCTTGTTTTTGAATTCTGAATTGCTGTTTTGCTGGCTTCAGCTTCCTGGAGAAAGGGTTAGTGAATTCTTTCCTTAAAATGCTATTAGATGTATCAGAAGATGAGTAATTTGCATGTGAACTTTTGATTACCTCAGGTATCTGACTTCTCTCCCTCTTCTGGGAGAGGAACGTGAACCAGAGGGCTGCATATATTTTGAGTATGTTTTTCTCTGTGTGTGTTGAGATGAGTGTTGGGGAAGCATGAGATTTCAGAATTTTTCCAAGGCATCTGTGAAAAATAATAGGGTAAATAACAGATTTGTTATCACAGTCTGCATATTGTATGGGTCTAAACTAAGATTTGAAGCAAGTTTCTCTATGGATGAGGTGTGTTGGGGAAGGATTGTCATGCTATTAGTAAATAATAATTATAAGGGCTGAAAAGCCAGAACTGGACCTTATAATTGTAAATGGGGAAGTTGGTATGATTTAATCATTTAACTGAGAAAATACTATTTCTAGAAATTTGGCAGATGTGATAGTTATTCAGTAGCACCTAGCATCTGCTTTAATCTGCATCTAAAAGTACGATTGCATGAATTTAACAAAAACATTTTCCAGCTTAGTTTTCTTTAAGAAAACCAAACATTTGTAGTGATTTCATAAACACAAAGTTGGCAGTGTATTCAGCTGGTAAGGTAGCTAACGTGTTGTGTAGAGCAGAGAAAATTTGATAGAGTTCATATGTTCGCAAGAAATTTGACTTAGATACTTTATTTTTAAAGGTTGTTTTTACTATGCCTTTGTAATTTAAAAAAGAAAAAAGAGAGAACCTGTTTTCCAGTTTATTCCCTGTTTTACCACAACGAATGAGGTATCAGGTATCTGTGCAGAAGTGTTAACCAAAACACTTACTGAAATTTAAAAGAAGTACTCTGTACAGCTGAGCACAGTGTGTTAGCACAGCAGCTCTGCAGATGGTGTGAGCGCTACAAAGACTGTAGTGTGGACATGGGATTTTTTTCTGCTGGATTGAAAGGCAGGGCTTGTTAAAACTCTGGTGTTTTGTTATAGCCCTTTTCTAAAAGACCGTTGACTTCATTAATGCCTATGAAAGACTAGTTCAGTAGAGACATGCTAAAAGTAGCTGCAGAGCAGTCCACCTCAATGCTCTGCTAAGTGTCAGTCAAAACAGTAGTAGGTGCTGGCTCAGTGGCCGAGGCAGGACTTCATTCATTTAGAGGAGCAGGCAAGAAGTCCATGTCCCGTGGGTGTCCCAGTCTCTGCGCAGAACAGAGCATAACATACTTGTAGTTTTTTCTTACAGTAGAAATGCATGCACTATTACATGTAGTATACGTATCTTTTCATAAAGGTGCTACTAAGAGTTTGTAGCACCGGTTTTGACCACTCATGCTAAAGCTTGTAGTATAACTGCTTGGGGCCGAGAAAGGTAATTTGAGATTATGTGCCAGCTTTGAGAGCAAATAGTATTGGCTTGTACAATAGCAAATTATTGGTATTGCTACTTCAACGTCAGCACTGTAAAAGCCACAAGTACTGAGAATGGAGGAGATAGTTGTTTTTGTTTTTAAAAAAAAGAGAGAGAGCAAGAGAAATACATAGCAATATTAATACTCTGCCTGTAAATGAAACATTGTGATGATCACAAACCCCAAAATTATTTAACACGGCAAGTTCATGTCACAGAAATGTAGACTTTGGGGAAACTTGTATTTCTGTAAATGGTTTGTTGGAGGGTTTTTTTGTACAGATGATCTGTAAAGCAATCCTCTCCAGGACTAGGTTAAAGAGCAGTTTTCTTCTGAGACAGTTCATACCAGGAAAGTCTCCTTTGTGAGGAATAAGCTTTCCTTTTTAATGATTGCTCTGTGAGATTAATATTTTTCTTGACCTGAAGGCACACTTAACTTTCAAATAAAGCCAAGTGCAAGGCAGTAGAACAGCAGAAGGGGACACTGAACAGAAATGTTAGTAGGTTGTGTAATTTATTATAAAGGTTTGGGCAAATCTCAACTTGAGAAGCCAGTCAACTCAGAAAATGTTTTGCCTATCCCTGTTTGAAGTGAAGTCCCAGTTCTCAGACAGTAGTACTGTTATCTTTCCTCTGTTCACAAACAGAACTGTGAAATGAGCAAGTTAAAATGAAAATGAACTCTGAAGATGGTAAATATTTTTTCTATTCTTTCTTTTAAAAAATCTAGTAGGGTTATTCTGGAGGTTGTTTTCTTTTGTCCTTGAACTTTTGAGGTTCAATTGAGACAATTTGACATCTCACCTTGAGGTTTATTGCAGTTCAGCAGAGTCCTAGCTATATTGTTTTAGCAAATGTTTTCCAGACTGTGGGTTGCATGTTATGTTAGCGGCTGTAAGGATTGTGAAATATTCAGAAGGACTGGCGCTGCAGTTAAATAGCCTGTACAATGGTATGTTTACGGCGCTTCTGGAGAGGTGCACTGTCGCTTCACAGGTATGCTTAGTGGTTCCTTAACAAATATATGGCATGGAGGAGCTCTGGGTGCTTTTGTCAGATCAGCTGCAAATTTTGAGAAGGGACCTTGAAATACATGAACAATGTGTCAGTGATAAATATTAACCACAGGTCTCAATAGAGGAAATAGATTATGTTTAATGGTGTGTGCTGGGTCCAAACTGATTAATTTCAGGTCCAGGCCACAGAGGTCACCTGAATTCTAGTTGCTGATTCAGCTGTTTTGTACATGACTTTCTGACCCTGTGCTGGCCCAGGACAAATGTTTAATCTGTGGAAATCCTGGCTTGCTTGGAGGGGGAAGCAAAGGCTTTCCCTTTGTGTGTCTTCCTCCCCCCCATCTCCACCCTGCATCCATACAGTTGTTGGGAAATTCACTTCCTTGCAATTGTTAATTCTCTCTGCATCTTTGAAATGAAGCCTTTACTCCCCAGTTGAGTCCTAGGTTGGCTGAACTTCTTAAAACTTCTGGAGCAATACACATTAAAGGTAATTTACACATTAAAGATAACTTGTTAAACGTGCCCATAGTAAATTGTAATGAACTACACTATCATTTCAGAGCCATATCAGCTTCAGGTGCGCTTGACTTACAGCTGCTGCCCAAACCTCTCAGCTTCTTCTGAAGCATACGAAAGTGTTTCCAGCTATACTTTGATAAATTGGTTGGTTTTGGCAAAGGTATTTAATAAGGCAGCTGGTTGTGAAGACCGTGTGTTCTCACATGCAGATTTTGAAGTTTTGCTGTGCTCAAGGATTCTTCACAGTTAAAGTATGTTTAAGGAAAGTGGGTTTTTTCTCTTCCCCCTCCCCCCCTTTGTACAAACTAAGTGATTAGTTTATTAATTACCCTCTCAAAAAATAGATGCCAGTCTAATATATTTCTGTGAAGTTTGAGGTCAGTGTTCCAGACAGGGAGGAAACACCACAGTTTCTCATATCCTCATCAAGTTTTGCCAGAGAATTTTGCACACAGTATCAGCAATACTAAATTGCTACAAGTGTTTCAGCATGAGGAGAAGCTGTGTCCTGTTCACCTGGTGAATCCTGTTAGTTCCTCACAAAAAACTTGGTTTGCTTGTGTTACAGACTTTAGGGAGGCTTTTGTCCCTTCATCTGCTCCATCATAGGTTATCTCCTCAGAATATATGCTATAAAGCAACACGCCTTTCTCTGCTTTGTTGCTGTTACTGATTAAATCATCCTTATGAAGACATCCTTTTCATGCAGCAAACAATATGAAGAATTACTGACTCTCAACAACATTGTTTTCCTCGCACGCACATTTCAGTGTGTGGTTTCCCTGGAGCATTTGAGGAATAGTGGGCGAGGTGTATTTGCTCAGCAGGATTAAACAAAAAGATAGTACTATTTGCAGACTTCAACAAGCTGAAGTGCAGCAGCTGATGGGAGTTTTTGTTGGGTGAACTCAGTAGCCTGTTTGAACAGCAGAAATGAATCCTGTTCCTGGAGGGGAAGAGGTAACTCAGTGGCGTACATAGTGCCAGGGTGTCATAGTGCATTTTGTGAGCTCTTTTCAGGGGGAGGCAGGATGGGTTTTTCTCTGAACCAGACGGCCAGTTTCTCAGAAAAGTGCATTAATACCTAGTGGCAAAACCCAGGACCTTTTTTGATCTTTCTTTTCACTAATATGCTTAATCTTTCCTTAATCTCTGAAGTGACGTTGTCCTTTCTTTTCTACAACAGTACATGCTGCTGCAGTCTGGCTGCTGTTGGCTGTGACTGATAAATTAGTTCAGGACACTTGAAATGGTATCAAATGGTAGACGGTATTCCAGGTTCAGCGGTCTGTTGGAATAGCAGTGGTGACAGCCAGCTAATAAAATGACAAAAACCAAGCGCAGCTAGCAACAAGAAAAACAGAGCTCCTGGGTAACTCTGTAGTAAGCTCAGGCATTGGGGTTAGTGTGACTTGGCAAAGGAAACAAATCTGTTTCTATTGGTAAAAAAGCAAAGCTCCCACTGATACTGAGAAAAGGCAGCAATGCAATGGAGCAAATAAAAACCAATTGTATTGACAATGGGGAAAAATGCTCTCGGGCTTTTTCCTTACTTAGTTGTTGTGGAAACTCCCACCCTGTGAACGGCAATCTCCTGTTACCCTAAACTTTGCAGCACTTTCAACCTGTGAACCATGTCCACGTTTCTTCCAGATTGGGACCCACAAGCTGCTGGCCAGAGCTGATGCAGTTAGCAGTTGATCAGCTCCCCCTTGCTGATTCAAGCCTTTCTCTTTTCTTGCTGGATAGGATTGTCCCTCAACAGCTCTTCTGTGTTGACCAGAAATGTGTCTTAGGGTTAAATTACCCGTTACCCAGTCTCTCTTGATACACCTTCATGGGGTTACCTCTGTTAGAAACTCCTATTATTTTCAAAATGTATAAGTAAGACTATATAGTCTGAGTTGTGGCTGAAAGATTGAGACACAAAATACTCATTTTTGTAAGAGGAACTTGGAAGCTTCCTTGGAAATGATTGGCAATAACTATAACCTGTAATGAAGGACCTGTATGAGCCAGTTGGACTCAGAGCTTGAGAATTTTTTTGTTGTTTTATTTCTTGGCTAATACTAATGTAATTTCTATGTAATATAGCATTAGATACTACAGTATATACTATAGTATATACTGTTACTACTATAGTATTATATAGTACTCTATACTATAACCCCATGTGGGCTAGGAGGGGAGAGGAATGAGACCGAACATGCTGGCAGATTATGAGATAGCATAATGGAAATGTTTAGTTGAAAATCTCATTTGTCCTCACTGCTTAATGATCTTGGAGGCTGGAAGAAACCCATCTGACAGTAGTATGGTCCGGTGGTGACTCAGGAGGCCCTGCAGCACTTCACCTGCATTTCTGCTGTAGTCCTGGTTCAGGAGGGCACACGGAGCAGCAGCATGAAAAGGCTTCTGCTGAAGAAGACCCTCGTGCTTCCAATAAAACGTTTATTTCTCTTGCACATAAATCACATAATGTATAGGAGCTTATATTTTTTCAAGAAACAACTGTGGTGTCATTTCTCTAG